GGAGGTTCTCCCTTCCCAGCACTCGGGTTAAGAATCAAGTTGGTTGGTATACTTAGGAACGCCATCCGTGAAGACGTGCTGGGAAACGAGTGATGCAATGCATTTATTCTATTCCTGTCACCTAAATGTACTGTCGATTCGTTCTCGCCCCACATGACTTACCCTCGACCTAGAACTGACAATTCCCTCGTTCACATGCACCGGATCCGTTTAAGCTAAACAAATCTGATTTCACAATGGTGAATCATTTTAACAGAGATAAACTTATTCCCATGGATGCCCATTATGAAAACGAATCAGTTTAAAGTTAAACGGATCTGGTGCATGTCACCCTATGTCTGGAGGAGGATGGTCGTATTCAGGGAAGAAATGAAGTCAAGGGAAGCTCGGAGTTCAGAGTAATAGTTCAGAGGAAGAGTTGAAGGAAGGGATCATGAGGCTGTTGCATTGTAACCATGAGCGCGTTGATGGAGTCCCCCCAAAACAAACCACATTCCCCGGCATAGAGTGATCACAGTTTCTTACGATTAAATAAATTAGGGAATAGGAGCCCGCATCACCATGCTCAAGGAACACTATGTCGAGGAAGGCTCCACGTCATTTCACTGCAAGTTACTTCTATGTTAGACAAATGACTGCCGACATTTCGCTGCAAACAATTTATTCGCATGCGTCAATTAACTGTACTTCATTTCACTGTGATACCCTTTTCACTGTATTCACTTTCGCTGCAAAAATTGTCCTAGAAATTATGGATATTGAAATAAAACGGGTTAATAATTGTCACATAAGAGGAAAACCCTCGGGAGAAAATAGGGGGATTGTCAGAATGAGTTCAAAACTGAAGATTCAGCGCGATACCGCGCAAATATGAAAGGACATCCCTTGACTGCCGCTGCTCGACCAAGGTCAGGAGGCGATCATCAGCTGCCTTGTATTTCTTTTTCCGAGGCTGAGGATGGCCAGAGAGTGCCTGCACTACTCGGACCTCCTGGCGTCCCTGCTCCTTAATCAAATACTTCAGAAACTTCCAAAGCGTTGGGTGTGAACATCCCAGACCACCTTGGAATACATTGTGCCAGGCTTCAATGGCATTATTTGTGCGAGGAAAACCTTGCACAATGCGGTCGTGAACGTTCCAAAAGCCGATGTCGAACATAGGTTTCGCTCGACCTCTACTACGAGGGCGTAGTTGCATCCACAGGAGCTTCATTAAATGATAGCCAAGTCAATGGAGACCTTCCTGAAGCCGCTCTAGGACCTTTCGTAGTTGGTGAAGCAGTCTCCCTTGTTTTCGGTCACGACCATCGTAAGCCTCGTGAATTGAAAGTTGTGGATCAGTCCCGTAGGTAGCCTGAAGGCCTTCGCCTTGCACTTTGCGATACAGAGATTGGCAAAGTTGAAAAAGACAAGCTGATTGTGTGATTCCTGGAAAGACCTTTTTAGTGGCATTGATAGAGGCCTTTTCAAAGTCGCTCAGCACTGTTGCAGGATTAAGGTTTGGACGGATACAATGAAGAAACTGCAGAGAGAAACTATACTCGAAACTCGAAACCACTGTCGTTCATACAAGTCCTAGACTTGCCCTTGGGAATGTTACTTACTTACTTACTTCGTCACTCTACTCTATTCGTTTTCTTTTGCCTTTTTCAGCGCGGACGTACTTTTTCGGGGTGCCACTTTTCCCACGATGTCCCTTTCCCTTCTGTCACTTCTACATATAGCAGTGAAATGACGCACGGCAAAGTTACAACAGTGATAATGATCGCAGTCAAATTGCATACAGAGACGCGTCGTGCCACGGTGCCGCAGCACCATTCTGCTGAAACCAGCCATTCTGCCTAATGCCGAACTCATCCTATCTCGAACCGAAGAAATCGTGTAACATGTCCAAAAATACGAATGTTGGTTCACCATCCCATGAACAAAAATATGGACCAAATGCGTACGAGCCGTTCACCGTAGCTCGTATCATGAATAGGTGACATAAATTCTGTACATTGGGGTAAAGAGACTTTCTGCTCACCCAGTGCGGACTCTGAGGACATGTATTTCACTCCATGATTAAAGAGCATCTTAAACAAATAACTAATGAGCTTCACGTTTTGGACCAATTTAAGCTCAGGCCTTTCATGTGAACATTGAGGCCATATTGTAAATCCGCAAGTCATCACTGAATAAATTACCTTGGAGATAATTTATTCAGAGGTTGTGTGAAACAGAAAACGTGAAGAATTTGAATGAACTTCGCACCATAAGGAGGTACTGGATTTATATCATTCGTACCACGCAAGTAATTGAATTTGATTCATTTAGTCTTGCGAGTCGGAGTATAAAATAATTCCCAACTATCCCCACACAGCACAGGTATATCCTTAAGATATCCCAGAGATATCCCCTTGGGACAAGTGCGATGTCCCAGATTCAAGGAGTAGGGACATCTTCGGGATATCAAAATGTCTGGGCGTAAAGACATCTCACGGATGTCTCTTTCTTGCAGCACAAGTATACCCGAAGGACGTCCCAGAGATATCCCCTTTGCGACAAGTGAGAAGTCCCAGGTAGTACTTCCAGGCGCCTTCCTATCGGCAATGGACTCATTTTCTACCGCACAGACGAGCCCATTACTTCCGAAGATGTCTGCGACTGCGGCAGTTTCTTTTCTTTCAAATTTTCATTCGTTGATGTTAATTTGTTAAGCACAGGTCCAAAGGAAGCTTTGGTTTGCTGCTAAAGTGTGAACTGAACTGAACACCCTGAACACCCAAACGAACCACAACTTGTAGCGGCGAATTTTGGCTTTAGAGTCGTGGAGGGGGGG